CAAATACTACTCAATAGTAAATAAATAAAAACCTGTTGATGCACTCAACAACCCAGACGGAGCTTAAAGGCGATATGCAGAGGGGAAAAAAGGTCTGTCTCAAAAGGTTGCCTATTGCATGATTCCATTTGTACGACTTCTTCCAGACAAAATGGAAGCAACTGAAAATTGCTCAGTTCTTAAACTTTGCGGGGAAGGAGTGTGTGACAAAAGATTTAACAGAAGGGAATTGTTTTGATTGCTCTGTAATTTTATTGTGTGGTGATCCCAAAAATCCATACCAGCATTAGTATTCATAAACTATACATCAAAAAGCTCTATTTTAGTTAACCTCTATATAGAATTTTTTAAAATCAATGAGTCACATTTTCTTTAATGAGGAGTTCCAGGTATTCCTGCACTGCTCAGGAATTAAGAGTGGCTGAGAGTAGCCTGGTTTGTTTTTTGTTTTTGTGGGTTTGGTTTTTTTTGTCTGCACAGGTATTTGAAATGTCTGCCTGAGTACCCAAAGATGCATCTGAGAGGTGATCATTTTGAATCAACATTTCCCCAAAACATGCTACAGTGTTAAGTCTCCTTCATTTTTCTGAAGGTGGTTTATTAAATCATTCTTTTGAATAATTTTCCCTTGCATTTGGCTTGGTCTCTTCTTCAGAAATAGTAGGTATATATTGTTTTTTTTTTTTAAGATCTATTTATTTATACATACAAGAATTGGGGTGCAGGCGAGAGGCGCCGGAGGTGAGAGGATTCACCAGAGTGTGGGGAGTAGAATAGGAAGATCTACTGAAATGCACTGCTGAGGGGAGCAGAGGGAGAGACAGGTCTGCTGCACAATGTAGTCTGCTCCCTGGCCAGTCCGGGATCAAACTCATCCTGCATTGGCTGGCAGTAGCTTGATATCACTGTCTTTAACCCCTGTGCCACCAGGAGCCCCTATATTGGATTTTGTCTGTCTTCTTTAGCTATCATTTCTTCTTGACCCTTTTTGGCTGTATATGTCAGTTTCAGTTTACTTACATATTAATTAAGGATGGTGATCATGCCTTCCACATCCTTTCCTATGTTTGCAGAAGACCCCTTTGTCCTTTACGCCACCCCACTGGCTCTTCATTTCGTCCCTCTCTGCTACTTTGCCATGTTTTGCCAGCTCATATGTCCTCTCCTTCTGTTGTCTGACAACTATTCTCTAAACTCTTACATCTCTGTATCTCTTATATCAGTTTTTTAGAGTTCTATACTTTTTAGAGTCTATATTACCAGGGCCTGGAAAACCCTTCATTATCTGTTTACCTCTCTGACTCTGAACTCTCCACCTTGCCCTATTTGCTAGCTTCTCAAGACCATCCAGGCTGCCCCAGGGTGTGCTAACATGGCAGGCTGGTTATTTTGAGGTGAAGAAAATTGAAGTACATGAGATCCAAGATCTCTTTCCTTCCAAGTTTTATTACCACATAACCAAGGAGTTCCACTAGCCATGTTTGGGCTTCTGTGCCCATGCAATTAAGAAGTATCTTTGCTCTTGCTATTCTGTTTTATGGCTTCTTAATCAGTTTCCTGTCATGGGAACTTACAAGGAAGGACAACGATTAGTTTCTTCCCAACACCAGTGTTCCAGCAGCACTGCCATTCTTGCTGTTCCTTGGACCCTCCAGACATGGTCCATCCCAGGACGCTTGCAATCACTGATCTTCCGTCTGGAACACTCCACTCCCAGAGGTCCACACTGATTGTCCCCTCACTAATTGCCTGTCAAGAAATTTGACCCACGCTAACTCAGAATATGTTTTTCACTTATATTTCATCAATCAAAATAATGTCATGTGGTCTGTTATAGGGACATAGGGAACTGGGAAATGTGACTTTGAAAAAACATGACACATTGGCTCCAAATAAAATAGCATCTTTTAGTGAAAAAAAAAAAAGAGAGAGGTGATGGTTTTTAAGATAGGCAAATATTAGGGGCTGCCACTTTCCTCCATGGGATCAGGGGCTGCCTGATTTGTTCATCGGTTTCTCCCTAGCACCTAAGGCTGGCACAGCGTATCTTAATAACTCTTGAATAAATTACTGTCATCTCACTGGTACTCTGAAAAAAAAAATAGACAAAACCCCTATTTAAATGAGGACATTTAAATTTATATCTATTATTAATTAAAGTGATAACTTTTGATAATTTTTTGATGAGTTTTAGTCAAAAGAGATAAATTTTTTACCCACTAAGGTAACAGAAATGAGGCTTTTTCCAGATGAGGGAGTTGTGTTGGAGCAAGGGATAATTCCCCCATCCCCTCTGAGTTTTTCTAAGACTAAATAGATAAACAAATTCACAACAGACAGATTCGTGGGCGAACAGACCAAAATTTAATAGCATGTGTATGGAGAAGTACGTGCTTATGAATTCTGAATAATAATGGGCTGAGCCTGTGATGTTTACTCTGTGTTTAGGGCCCTGAGGCATCAGGAGAGGGAGGGAGATGTCCCATGCTGGGCGGATGAGAAGGGGGTGACTCAGCTTCTCTCTGAGAGTGAAGGAGAGATTCTCAGGGAAGCAGACATGGTCTCTGTACACGTGACCAAGATGGTCCCATCCCAACTACTGACACATTCTCATGGGCTCTAAAAGGGGGAGCCGTGATTACTTCTTTTATCAGGAAAAGGGGAAAGGACAAAAAGCTCCTAAGTCCTCATGACTCTTCATTTAAAATATTCTGCATGATTGAAGCGACAGTAACAGCTTCCTTAGACACAGGGTCTCCGCGCTGGTGACATCCCTGGAGGAGACCCTCCCTGGGCATATGGGGAGAAGCCCACCCAACTCTTGGGGAGACAGGTCAGCAAAGTGGGGCTCCTGTAAGAGTGAAGAAATTGGGAGCAAGGTTTAAAAAGAGGGAGGTTAAGCACGATGGCGACAGACAGGGCCCGAGAAGAGAAATGGTCAGTGAGAAGGTCCCTGTGATGGGAAGATGGATGACGATGTCCTAAAACCTGTGTTGCCAGTGAGTTACCTGCTTTTCTTGCACCATCAGCACCTTATGCTTCTTTTGATGACAGTGTGGGGAGAATGCTTGGGCGCAGAGGAAGAGTTTAACACAGGAGAGAAGAAATGTAGTTTCAGAAAAGAGAACTGAGAGGAAATGGAGAATAGGAGAACCATGAGTTTAATGAAAATGACCATTAAACACAGAGCCCCGCTCTGTCCCCAACAAGGAATAGATACAGAAATATTGGTGGAAAAGAGGGAGGCACTGATGCCGAACTGTACATGGCATTTTAGCTAAAAATGAAAGGGTAGATGTATTAGAGTTGTCCAGACAAATAGTGCTATAGATTGCATGTGTGTGTGTGTGTGTGTGTGTGTGTAAATGATTTCTTACAAGTATTATAAGGAATTGGCCGACATAATTATGGCAACTGACAACATACTTTGACTTAGGTTGTCCTTTCAGTCATTTCTTCTTTCAAGTTCTATGTTTATCTTCACTTCCCAAGTCAAATCCCACCTCTCCAGATAGTTCTTTCTAACCACTTCAGTTTTGGTTCATTCCAGTGGCGCCCCAAAAAGGGAAGAACAAAAAAGTTATCAAAAGTTTACTTTTGGTCATGTATTGTTCTTCACTTCTGTTTCCTTTTTTTGTTTGGTTCTGTCTCCTCTCTCATAACTTCAAAAAGAAAATCAGCACACATATCACACTACATTGTCCTGTTTCATCACTATTGCTTTATCTATTCCCCCCAGCTACTTTCCCAGGTAAAGGAGGGCAAAGAACACATCTCATCTTTTTTTTTTCCTACATCACCCACAGCACCTAGAAGAGTGTTGAATATTTAATGAACAATATTTGCTTGAGTTACTTGTTGTAATAAATGTTTACAATAGTTTAAGAGTTAGTGTTTTACAGAAGTACTGAGAAATCAAGTGTCTAAAACCTAATATATCTATAAACTGGTTTTCCAAGTTAAAAATATCTCATACAAAGTAGACTGAATGGCCAAATGAATTGTAAAGATAATTTTCTTTGTCATGTGAGAGAAAAATTCACATCAGGATATTTTCGAGTTGTGTTAATTTTAGACATATCTTTATGATTTTATTGGCTATCTAGACATAAAAATTGTATTGGTAATACTAAAATATTTTAACATTTTTAGGGAATGTCATTCTTTTTGTTGTAGTCACTGAAAATATGCCATGTAAATTTTTGTTTGACCCAACAAAAAATTTTTGAGAACAGGTTGACATTCAAAAATCCTCAAATGCTTCTTTCTCAGAGTATTAAAATTACTAGCTACATTGAGAACAATAATAGAGCAAAATAAATTTGATTTCATTTCCAAGATTAGAAAGGGACTAGAAGTAAACTACCTGAAGGAGTCACTGATTATTGAATCCTGTGCATTCTGACAAGAAATCCTCTCAAGCCAGGAAAATATGCATACAAGTTTGACACTGAGACTTCAAGAGAACAGAGATGACCTGCAAAATTCTATTAGCACCTCAGTAAGTGAGCGGGCAGCACTAAGTTTATAGCTCTCAGGATCACTTAGATTGAAGGACTAAATCTCTCCAAGGACAAAGTCAAATATACTAAGCATGAGGAGAGGTGGTTGCTGATGAGAGAAAATCTGCCACAAGTCATATTACTTTTATATTATATGGGCCTCTTTAATAGAAACTTGATTTGACATAAAGTAATTTGGGAGCTGGGTATTGCAATGATTGAGAAGTTTCACAGAGTTCAGAGGCAGTGAAGGGGAAAATAAATCTTTGCAGCTCCCTGCTAAGAGGGTCTTAGGCCTGGTGCAGTTAACAATCCAATGCCACTGTAATCAACAAGTTTTACTCACTTAATGAATCTTTCCTTAGCAGACTAACCATATTACAAGGTCAGGCAGCCGGCCAAGTTAGTCTATCTTTTCAAGGCCATCCCAAGATGTCTGTGTTCTTGCTTTTTCCCATCCCCTTGTTTAGGAACTTTGCAGCAAATGATGTTATCAAAGTAAGGGTAGTTATGTACAAAAAGAAATTCTTTGTCTATAAATGGGTGCTCAGACCTTAAGGGGCTACCCAGGTCTGGGACCTCATGCACGAATAATAAAGCTTCTCCTGACCTTACCTTTCCCCAAGTACCGCTTGCTCTTCCTCTTCCTGGGTAAAAAGTAGAATTTATTTCTACAACATTTTGGTGCATTGGCGGGGAACAACAAGCTCATTGGCCCTTTGAGCCATCAGATTAGGAGACAGAAGAGTGGGGAGGAGAGGAAGAGTCAACCAAGGGGAAGTGCACTCCCCTGAGGACTTCCAGTCTCTGATTTGGTTGCTCCTGCCTGGCCCCCACAACACCTCCAGGCCAGACTTCCAAAGGGCTGAGTGAGGCCAGGACTTGGTGGCAGCATCAGATCAGGTAAGGTCCCAGGGCCCTGGTTCCCACGTGGCCTGCCCAGAGTGGTAAAAGGAGAGGCTGATCACCTCTCAGGGAGACCTCGAGGGTCTCATTTGGTTTTGGTCGGGAACCTTGGAGCTCCCAGAAAGGGAGGGATGGGATGGTTATAACCTCTGGTGTGTGTATGAAATCTCCAGGGCTACGGAGATAGATTGGGCTTTTACCTGTGGTTCCATAGACAAAGCCGGATGACCTAACGGTGACTGGCCTGGCCAGAGCCTGTCTGGGGGTTTTTCGGACTCACTTGTATGTCAAGGCTTGTCGCTAGCTACGAGAGAAGTGTGGCCAGGGAAAGAGCCTGTGTGTTCCCCCTCCTCTTCTGCATCACCGTTCATAATGGGAGGGAAACAAAGCAAAAACATGGTCCTTGAAACCATGCTTAAAAACTTCAAAAAGGGATTCTCAGGAGACTATGGTGTTAAGCTCAGTCCTGGGAAGCTAGTACATTCTGTGAGCTGGAATGGCCGGCTCTTGGGGTCAGCTGGCCGGCAGAGGCACCCTAGACAACCCTACCATTTGCTGTGTCTGGCAGGCTGTTACTCATAAGACAGGGCATCTGGATCAGTTCCCGTACATAGATTCCTGGTTAGAGCTTGTTCAGGCCTTTCCCTCATGGATACAGTTCAGTCAGAGCAGGCAGGGACAGACTAGTGTCCCTATTGCAGCTCCCTGCAGTTCAGGGAAGAGAGGCCTTTTGAACCGGCCAGAGAAACCGCGGATATGTGTGGGAAACCCAGAGGAGGAACTACAGATCCCTCTCCCTCCCCGTCACCGGCCACCAGCGGGTGAATCCACTCCAACAGCCCCACCTTCAGAGATAGGAAATGCCACCTCCCTCTGTCCGTCCACCAGGGGCCCTGTCAGAACCCTCTGACCTCGGGCCCTCAGCCCGACTCAGCTCTCGGTCAACAGCCCACCATGCCTGTCCATGTGACCCGAGAGTTGGGGAGAGAGGGGGAGGATGGGATTGCCCAGCCAGGGCTTGTTCTGCTCTATTATCAGCCTCTCAGCACCACCGACCTCGACCTCCTTAATTGGAAGCACAATACCCCTCCTATTCAGAGAAACCGCAGATGATGGTCGATCTCCTGGAATCCATCTTCCAAACCCACCACCCAACCTGGGAGGACTGCCGACAGCTCCCCCGCGCCCTCTTTAACACCAAGGAGCGGAGGCGAATACTGAAAGGGGCGAAGCAGTCCTTACAGGAGCATGTCCCAGGGGGCTGGTAAATCCAGCGGCCTGGGTGAGTGAGGCCTCGCCCCAGAGCCGTCCTGATTGGAACTTCACCACAGAGGAGGGCCAGGAGCTTTTCCGGAGATACCAGGAGGCGCTATTAGCTGGGCTCAAAGCTGGAGCTAAAAAGCCTATGAATATGGCTAAGGTTTCCTCAGTGACCCACGTGAATGAGTCACCCGGTGACTTTCATGACAGACTTTGCGAGGTATAACAGGTCTATACCCCCTTTAACCCTGAGGACTCAGGGAGTCAGCAAATGGTTATTTCGGCCTTTGTGGTGCAAGAGCCTCTGATATTCAGAGGAAATTGCAGAAACTGGAAGGCTTTAAGGGATGAATATCACTCAGTTAATTGAAGTAGCCAATAAAGTTTTCATGGACAGAGATGTTGTGGCAGAAAAACATATGAAGAAGGGGCTCAGTCTCTTGGCAGCACCCCTGCGAGAACACACCTCAACACCAGGCACCCCTGTGAGGCTCAGGGCCTCAGCCAGACCTCCAAGGAAGTCAAAACAGTCTCTAGCTAAGGATCAGTGTGCTTACTGTAAAGAAAAAGGGCATTGGAAACGAGAATGCCCCAGCCTTAGAAAGCCCCAGGCCAATGGCGGGACCCTGTTCAGTACTGGCTGGAGGCATGGGAGGGGGGCTTCTTGGAATGGTTGGAGATTCATATTGTAGGTGACCTGGCTCAGCCTCCCTCGGCCCCTGTGAGCCCACGGTCAGTGTTAAAATTGGGGGCCAACCTGTGACTTTCATGATAGATACCAGAGCTGAGCACTCTGTGGTCACCACTTCCATTGCCCTGTTGTCTGATGAGACTGTAACTGTCCTTGGGGCTACAAGACAGAAGGCTATTCAAAAGCCATTTTGCCAAACCTGTCAGTGTGAAATAGGGGGCCACTTGGTTAAACATAAATTCCTGTATGTCCCGGAATGCCCAATTCCTCTCCTTGGGAGAGATATCCTTTCCAAGCTGGGAGCCCAGATTACCTTTGAGACATTGGGGCGGGGGCATCCACTGAGTCCACGCAGGCCCCCAGCTGAGCACACCGCAAGAGGAATCTCTGATGTTAACTATTGTTACCCCAAAAGAAGAAGAATGGAGATTGTATGGTACATAGTTTATTGCACCAGTTTGTCCTGATTTTTTTAATGAGTTTCCTCATGTGTGGGCTGAAAATACCCCCCTGGCCTCGCTATTAATCGGGCTCCCATAATTATGGATTTAATTCCTGGAGCTGTGCCACAGAGACAGTGTCAGTACCTTCTCTCACTAGAGGCCCGGAGGGAGAGGCATCCAAGAACATTTGGCAGGACTCAAGGACGCTGGTATCTTGGCAGAGTGCCAATCCCCATGGACCACGCCCCTCCTCCCCATAAAGAAAACTGATGGAGGTTACAGACCAGTTCAGGATCCCCAGGCTCCGAGCAGTTAATGTACTTTGCTTGGTCAAATTCCGGGGTCAGCCCAATGGTTTACCTTTCTGGACCTCTCAGTGTTAAAACCTCACATGCCTTAGTTTCCCTAATAAATGGCTCCCGCCTCAAGATTTGCTCTGTGAGAATCCTCGGTGGCTCTGGAAACTGTCCATACAATTAACCTTGCCACCTTCTGCCGGAAGCCAGCTCCGGCAAACTGTCGTGTCAGGGGTTCCTGCAAGGATGAGATGGTGTGGACGAATCTGGGGGTGGTGAGGGGAAAGGGAATGAAGAGACACAGACACTTGGTGAGGTGCAAGTACATAAGGTGGGAGTACATAAGCGTGTGCTTTCAAGTGAAAACTAACAATTGTGGCATTTTTTCAAAGTCAATCTGGGGTCTCATGACCTCTTGCAAAGGTGATAATAATTATTGAAACCAGCCTGGGGTTCTTAGATCCCTTGCTGTGGTGATAACAACCATTCTTACATTGTTCTGTAAATACATTTACCACACAAAATGTCCCCTTAACAATCATTTGTTCTCCACAATCCAGTAATTGTTCTGTTGATATTAAAACCAGCAAACAACAAAACTCATGTGACTAAAAGCTAACTTCCTTATAAATTCTAAGTTACTAATTGATCAAACTTTATAAAATTTCCTAATCTTATTAAAAAAATAATTACACCTAAAATCAAAAACTTCTATAATTAATCTATCACATAATTCTAATTTAATAGAAAATAGTAAATTATTAAAAATCAAAAACCCAAAGAATTTCAGTGCCACATAAGCTGCACCTACATTTCTCTGACCTCAAACTACAAAGAACAAGCAAAATTCTATTAATTACTTAAAACAATATTTTTGCTTGTCACTCTTCTAATTATTTTGTCAATGACTATCTCTAACTTCAAATCAAAAAAGTTGTCCTTCTTCATATGGCTTTTGCCTTAAAAGACCACAACTTTATATCAAAGACTTGGGGGGTAGTGTTTGCAGCTTTTAGTTCCCAGAAGTTTTTTAGGTGTGATATATCATTTATTTTTGTAAGACCAAATTCTGAATCACTGCCTCCAGGCAGAGGGTTATAAATTACTCAAAAATGTACTATTTGTATCACGCAGTGCCATTTCTTCAAATTAGTTATTTAGTAATTGGTCATACAGCACTGGAGTTTTATTTATAAATGTATATCTTAACAATTGCCACATGCAGAAAAATTAGCCATAAACAAATGAGAAGAATCTAGCATGAATCAGCTATCGAGATTCCTGACTTTTCAGGATTCTGCCCCATGCCCGGATCCTTGTCAGAAGGCATGAGTAGCATGGCTCCCGCCAACTTCCCTTCCCTCGGAAGCGGGTACCCCAGAACATAATTGCTCAGAACTTCTGGAAGAAGTTTTCTCTAGTGGACCAGACCTTAAAGATCATCCTCCAGGCCACCCTGATTGCACACTCTTGTGTGCTGATAGCAGCTTCCTGCAGGACCACACCCGCAGGGCAGGTTACTTTACTACCACCCACAGGGTTTCGGAGTCCTGCGCTCTCTCCGCTGGCTGGTGGGCACAAAGGGCGGAAGTTTTTGCGTTGATTCTTGCCCTATCTATTGGTTGATTCGTGCCCTATCTATTCGTGCCCTATCTATCTATTACCCTATCGAGACCAGGCAATCAGTATCTTCACAGATTCGCGCCACGCTTTTGCCACAGCCCACATCCATGGAGCACTCTATAAAGAACGAGGGCTCCTCACAGCTTCTGGTAAAACAATTAAAAATAAAACTGAAGGCATCCAGTTGTCAGAAGCAGTTTGGTGTCCACGCGCAGTGGCCATCACACCCTGCAGAGGGCACCAGAAGGGAGCTGACCCCACAGCAACCGGCCATCCTCTAGCTGATGAGGCAGCGAAACAAGCAGCTTGATGACCAGCTCCCGCGCTTCCCGTCTTTCCGTCCGCCCTGGGGGTCGCTGCCTCCCCTCTAAGTGTCCGGGGACCTGAGACCACAAGCGACCCGCTCCCTTTCATGAGCTCCCACTCCCCTCTATTCGGAAGAACAGACTCGGCGGGCTAGGTCCAAAGGCGCCCACCAGGCGAAGGGGGTGGTGGAGACTGCCTGAGGCTTTTCGTCCCCGCAGCACTTGGAAATCAGCTTGTACTAGAATATCACCAGATCACACATCAGGGGAAAACGGCTCTAGAAAAGCTCATCCAAAACATTTTTTTCATCAGCTTCTTGCCAACGCTCTGTAAGTCAGTTAGTGAACGACGTGTAACTTGTGCCAGAAATAATGCTCA